ACCAACCTAAAATGGCCAATAAATGTTGATTGACTGTGGCATTGACTTGAATGGCCAGTGAAATATAACAGAATGCCATAAAGTATTGCTTTAAGACCAGAACAATAAAGAACAACTTTTAAACTACATCAGGTATGGGTTGAAGAGGAGATGAAGATAGTATTTTGAAGTCATGACATTAAAAAGAGTGTGGGTATAAATAGAGAAAGGCCTCCAATCCTGCCTGTTTGGCCCCGACATAGTAGATCAGTGTTTTTCAACCTTGGCAACTTTTAAGATGTATGGACTTCAACTCCCAGAATTCCCCAGGAGTTGAAGGGTGTATCTAATTTGGTGAGGAGAAGGACTAGGGGTGACATGATAGCAGTGTTCCAATATCTCAGGGGTTGCCACAAAGAAGAGAGAGTCAAGCTATTCTCCAAAGCACCTGAAGGCAGAACAAGAAGCAATGGATGGAAACTAATCAAAGAGAGAAGCAACACCTAGAACTAAGGAGAAATTTCCTGACAGTTAGAACAATTAACCAGTGGAACAACCTGCCTCCAGAAGTTGTGAATGCTCCAATACTGGAAGTTTTTAAGAAGAGACTGGACAGCCATTTGTTTGAAATGGTATAGGGTTTCCTGCCTGAGGAGATAGATGGTTGGACTAGAAGACCTCCAATTCTATCATCATCATCATCATCATCTTAAAAGTTGTCAAGGTTGCAGTAGATCAGTCTGAGTAATTCAGAGCTATGCCTAGTTGAAGATTTGTGTTATTGGTTGCCTTAAGTTCCACAATTGAGAAAACTCCTTATGGCTGGCATTGCTACAGGCATTTTAGAACCCATTATTTTATTAGTGCTTTCCTCAAAGAGAACTTGGAGCTACGTAATCCAACTTTTCTTACATATGTAATGCTGTGTATTTTCTTTGTAACGTATTATTGTTCATTTGTTTTCCATGCATCATCTTAGCAAGGCTTTGCATTAGTATGTGGTTTATGAATGCCTTACATAACGAACTAATAAACATACCCTCTATTAGTCAGCATTGCAGATTTCATTAGCTCAGCAATCTAAGAAGACATTTTAAAACAAGCACTGTCAAATCAGTTGCTGCTATTTATTTGCTAAATTTATACCCCAGCTTTATTTTGTAAATTTAAGGGGGTGTACACAATGTCGCCTTCTCCTGTTGTCACACAAAAGCGACAGGTGAGGTTGTTGCATTGAAACAGAATGACCCAAAGTCACCCAGCTACCATCTGTTATGTAGAACAGGGCTCTCCAAACTTGGCAACTTCAAGTCTTGTGGACTTCAATTCCCAGAATTCCTCAGCCAGTCTGGCTGAGGAATTCTGGGAATTGAAGTCCACAAGACTTGAAGTTGCCAAGTTTGGAGAGCCCTGATGTAGGACAACTGGAACTCGATTATTTACCTCTGTATCTAAGGAATTCCAGAAAAATTTGGGAAGAGCTGCACTATGTCCCAACATATAAGGTGACCTACTAGCACTCTCACTCTGTCTCCTTGTGCTACTGGGAGTGAAGAGTTAATGATAAAGAAACAGAGTTTCTAGATGAGAAAAGCTTTCCTTTTCTGCAATCTATTTCCCCCCTTTTTCTGAAGATATCAAACAGGGAGAGATTATGAGAGGAGAATCTTGTGCTGTAACTTAATGGCTAAGCTTGGTTTCCTAAGACGAACTAAAGGAGACAGGGAAAGAAAAAGACATCTCAGGTAGAGGTGTCACCTTTCTCTGCCTGGCATTTTCCAGTTTTGCTTTTTCTTCTTCCTGGTATAACTTCTATCCCAGCATCCCCAGGAACAGCTTAAGAGGCAAAAGAAAACTAAACCTACCAAATTTCCATCATTCTCTACCTTTGATTTTTTTTTTAAAAAAGGCTGAATAGAATTTGGCAACTGATTTACTGAGGACAATCCTCTGTTTCAAGACCAGTCAGTGGATAGTCCTCAATCTGAAGACTTCCTCTGTCTAGAAGGTTCTCCAAATCTATTTGGAAGATAGAAGAACCTTAACAAGAGGAGAGCAGGGCCCTTCAGTTACCCATTATCAATGAGGCACATCATTAGCAGGACATAGTCTTCTGCACTTATGCTAAGGAATGTTGTACAGCACTTTGACTTTCTGTTTAATTCGTAGTAATCATTTCTACAATTAAGTCATTGGGATCAACACAAGTACATTTTATGCAAATGTATTCAATTTTCACTCTTTTGGCAATGTCACCTAATTGATCACTCTGAGTTATGGTGTGGGGAACTGAACTAACGTTTCTTATGTGGTTCATCAATTGCTATCTCTGCTTCCAGGTTCAATCAGAAAAGGTCCTAGCATCAGGAGGCACATGGACATTTAAATGCAGGTAGCCAAAATCAATAATTGTGAGAGTCTGAACTTAAGGCCTTCTCTCCCATAGGTGAATTTATGGATTCTCTCCATTTTCTTTCAGAATACCACTACTTTACTCAGGCATATCACAGAAATAGCAACCTCACTTTTCTGAATGCTAATCCTTTCTGAAACCATCCAGTGATGAACAAAATAGTAATACCTTCAGGGGAACTCAAAGACTTGCCAGAGTTTAACACCCACTCCTAAATCAGGAACATTTCAGAGAACACAAAGACGGTTAAGTATATTCAGTGGTTCCAAAATATTGTTTTATGCTCGGGAGGGGGGAGGGAGAGAGAGAGAAGACAAAGAAACTGGAATGAGTGAACATTTGAGCAGGGATATTTTTTCTTCAATTACTATTTGGAAGGGTTTGGACCAGGTCTAGATAATATTTGGTTTGGGGCTCCTTTCCAGATGTTCTCTGTGATCACCAGAAAAAAAATAAAGGAACAAGGAGAAAGCCTAACTCCATAGTGAACAGCTGTATTTACAGGACACAAGGAACCATCATTTAGCAGAGTGCATGAATCCAAGCAGTGTGGTTTGTTCATGTTCAGAGTATCCTACAAACTGCAAATATTTTGGGTACCACGTGAACATAGCCTAACACAGTGATGGCGAACCTTTTAGAGCAGTGGTTCTCAACCTGTGGGTCGGGACCCCATTTGGGGTCAAACGACCATTTCACGGGGGTCGCCAAACAACGCAGTCCGCCATTTTTTTCCCCTTTTCCTTAGCTGTGCTACTCCCTTTTATTCTATTGGCTTTTGAAAGCCAATAGAATAGACTCTCTTGAATAGAGTCTAATTCTATTGGCTTTCAAAAGCCAATAGGAATTGTCCAGGCTGTCTCTGCCCTGCTGAGCCCGCCAAAAGTCCCATTCTGCAAACAGTGCTGCACCAGTTGAGTAGTCCTCGACTTACGACCGGTTGGGGGTCGCGGCATTAAAAAGGTTGAGAACCACTGTTTTAGAGACTGAGTGCCCAAACTGCAACCCAAAACCCACTTATGCATCGTCGAGTGCTGGGTGGGTATGGCCCATTGGGTGGGCGTGGCTTCAGTGGTAACAGCAGATTGGGTGAGACTAAAAAGTTTAATCAATCAATTACAACTTTGCAAGGTCTTTTTTTTTCCCACGAGAAGTTGAAATTGACTGATTGAACCTTTTTTTTTTTTTGCATACTGTGGCGGAGGCCTAAAGTGAAAAGGTTTTATAAAACCCAATGGAAGGCCTAGGACTGAGGCCACTGCACGGGTGCCCACAGAGAGGGCTCTGAGTGCTGCCTCTGGCACCCGTGCCATAGGTTCGTCACCACTGGCCTAACAGGATGAATGTAAGTGTGTAAGAGCCTATGTCAGTTCTATGAATTTGAGTAGAAGTTGTGTTCAGGAATAGCACATTGAATTGGTTGTCTGCATGCTTCCATGTGATTTCAAGCCAGTGTACTGCAGTTATAGTAGGGAGCCCTCCTCCCAACACACTTGTCCTGACACAATTTAATAGTGGGATCAAAAAACACCCCCATACAGTTCTGTAAACTAGATTTATTAGTATAACCCAAAGAAGTCCTTTGACTCTTGTTGAATACAGCACTCTGGCAAATGTTCATTTTAAAATTGTTTTGCAAAGCAAATGTGCTTCCCTGCAGTAAGCAATGCTACCATATGCTATCTGTTGTAGTATCACCAATACATATTCACTGGAAATTCTGTTTTACTTACCAATTCTGGTCATCCATTTAGCAATCTTTTGAGTTCTTTAAGACCTAATATTCCACTAGTCTGGGACAATGGATGCAAACCACCTGTCCCACAAATAGTAGAACCCTTTTCATCCCTAGAATAGACTAAAATTCAACAGAGCCTCTGTGTAAGAGAAAAGAATGAATTCCTATTTTAGATTATTCACCCCCCCCTCCTCCTCATGGACCATTATCATACTTATCATGCTCTGGAGTTGCCCCCAAATCCTGCAAATCCTGTGCCCCCATTTCCCTTCTCATGACCTCCATGTGTGACAAATTTGGATTCAAACCAATAAGAAACTTACTAAAAGTATTAACTTGGGTACCTGAGCTGAACCAAAATTAAATACTTTTAAATCAAACTATTATATTAAAGAATAAACAGCCTGTCCTTAAGGCTACATTCTAAAAATGCTTACTTGGGAGCAAGTTCAGCAGCTATCTGTGGAACTTACTTATGAGCATCCAAAAAGATCAGACAGGAGGAAGTAATCAAAAAATGAAGTTAAGGGCACAGTGCATTTGGACATAAGACTCAGAGGTAATTATGTTCAAGACTGAGCTATGCTGGCATGCAAGGCATCCTTGGGCATATGGGTTTTACAAGGGAGCTAAGAAATTAATTACACATGATCCCACATAATGCAGACCAAGATTTTCAATCAGTGTTTGTTGAATATGACAAAATGCTCCCATTGGCACATCTTGCTAAACCCTAATGAATGAGCTCGCTCACTATATACTATGCCCCAACCAACAAAATTATACTTTCAAAAAGTGAATTAATCAGACATCCTGCTCAAAAATTGACATAATGACCATATTGACATATTGAGATACTACTTTGTTTGATTTCCATACCAGGCTTTTATTTTATTTTATTTTTTAAAAGGAAGCAAGTAACATAAGTCTCATACATTACAATAATTAAAATATCCATGTGCAAAACATCTTAGTATTTTCTGCTCTTACTTCTGCCTGCTAAAAAAAAAACAACAGTTAATTCTGGGTGAATAACATCTGAAGTAACATGGAGGAGCCTTACTCCTGTCCATTCGTCTGGATGGCGCAAGTGATGAGAAAGACTCCTGCGAGACGCCCTGAACTTAAGCTTACATATGGGAGCTTGCAAGCCCATTGCTAATTGCGCCGACTTGTTGCTCCATCCACCCCTCGGCTGGAGTTTAGCCACAACAACATGGGGCTTCTTTGCCTTTCTGGTTAATTAGGTGGCGGGGGGCGGGAAGTAAGAGAGATGAATGCGTGGCACCTGGCTGACAATGGATTAAGCCGCTCGAGACAGGGAGCGGGTCAGCCCCGAGATCCCTTCAAAGCAGATACTGCACCGTCTGCATCCCTGACGCTTTATCAGTCGCTAACACCCAACTGCCTCGGCGCAGCAGCAGCAGCAGCAGCGCTTCCTCCTTACAACTGGAAGTCTGTAATGGAGGGGAGCAGCAGTCGCCACCGCCGCCAGATGGTACGTTACCGCCAAGAGCCTTTCTAGTCTGCACACTTCCTCCTTCGTGTCCCCACCATCATTCGAAGGAAGGGAACGGCGAAGTTATTTATTAATACGCGCGACGCTGCAAAGGGGGGCAGAGAAGAGGCTGAAAGTTGTCTCCTGATGCTTTGGCAAAGTGTCGCCCAAGTTGCTAAGTAGTCCGCTTCCTGGCTCAAGACAACTGGGGGGGGGGAGAGACAGAGAGAGAGAATAAGGAGGAGGAAGGAGAAAAGTTTTACTCACTTCTCTTCTTGGAGCAGGAGGAGGAGGAGGAGGAGCCCCTCCCAGCCAAAGAGAAGGAGCGAGAGAGATAGGGATGCTACCGCTCGCAACCAACAAGCGAGCAGCAGCCTGGCTGAGTAACACGTCCCCTGGAGACTAGCAGGAGCAACACGTGATGTGTCTACTTAGGGTGAGAGGGGGAGAGCGGCTGAGAAGTGGGCAGGGGGGCGAGGACGGGGGCGCATTCGAAGCGCAGCTGTAGAGCTGAAGGTCCATAACTTTGTCCATCTTCTTCCTTCGGGGAAGAGGAAGAAGGGAACTTATCGTAGAGTTGATGAACTTTGCACATCCATAGAAACGCCATTTTGAATTTGATTCCTCTCTCTCTCTCTCTCTTCCCCCCCCCCTTCTCCCTCCGGAACAAACTTCGTTTTTCTCTCTTCGCCGTCTCCCTCTCTTTTTCCTTCCACCTATTTTCTCCCCTCCCTCCATTGTTATTATTTTTTTAAAAAAACGAACCCACCACTCGATCGCACCATCGCCAGTCCAGCTTTCCATCATGGCTCGACCCAAGCAGCCCAGTTTGGAGCAAGTCAAACGTAAGTACGCGAGAGCGCAAGGTCAAATTTCTACCTGCGCCTTGGAAAGAAAAGAAAAGGAGGGGAAAAAAAAAGTTGAAGCCGATGGTTTAGAAAGCCCGGCGGAGAATGTATTTGCGGGTTGATGAGACCTGGAGGGAGGGGAGGGAAATCGCATAGGGGGCTTTGACCCTTTTGAGAGTGACAGGACTTTTTTCTTGTTTTAATTTTTGCACCGTAGCTTTTTTACGGGAGGGAGGAGAGAAAAAGTTTAGAAAAAGTTGTCTGGCAGCAGCGTCGGTGATGCTGAAAAGTCCATGCAGCCTTTTCTGCTTTTCCACCCCATCCCCCGCTCGTCCTGGCCTTCCCCCCCCGACTCTCCCCCCCCCTTCTTCCGTGTTGCAAACTGTACCAACCAGCAACACCCGTTGCAGACTGTTGCCTGCAGGACCTGATGCTCATCCATATTAAACCGTCTGAGCTCAGGAATTCATCCAGATCATCTCTCTCGCCTCCCCTCCTACAGCAAAGTTTATTTTTAACCAGCGAAGTTGGAAAGGCCTGCGAGAAGCAGCATCTTTTAACCCAATTGGCCTCGCTCGCGTCAAGCACATCCCTCCTGCTCTTTCGTTCGCTTCCCCCTTTCTCCAGTTGGTGAAGTTTTTATGATTTGTTGACAAAGATGATGGGGAGCGAGATGGCGTTTGGCTCCCCTCTTTTTATGTGGAAGTGGAGTCGTCTTTCTCAAGGTAGAGAAGCGGCTGGAGTGGGGGGGGGAGGTTGGATGGAAAGCGGGGGGGGGAGTAACTCGTTTGGGGCTTTTGCTCTTCCTGGGCATCTGTTGCTGTTAACTTTTCCGCCTTGTTTAGGGCGCTTGCTAGAAGCATCTGTGTTATGTGTGTGTCTTTTTAATTCGTAGTTCGGTACTTCTCGTTCCCTTCACTACCCTCCCCTCCACCCTGGGCGGGGAAGTGGGAGGTAGAAGCTTTTACGGATCATGCCAGCTTCTCTGGCTTTTTCCTTGGCCTTCAGGGAAGGTGCCAGGCCCCATCAAAGAGCCCTTACGCCCAGAAAGATTTTGGGGGAGAGGGAAGAGGAGAATCGCCTCTTTCGTTTGTTTTTTTTTCCACGTATACTGTGTCAACTGGACATCTCTCTCTGGGTACGGATCATAGAAGGAAGCGCACACTCGCATTGTCACGAGTACAGGAAAGCGCCCGAATGTATCCGAAACCAGGAAAACGGGTCGCCTTCTTTTTCTGCGGGCTGTTTACTAAACAAGCGAAGTTAACATCTTAGTGGTCCAGATCTATGGTTCCTTTCTCACCGTCTTTCAAGCCATCGCCCCCCCCCTCCAATTGCTACATCCAAAACGAATTGCAAAACACTCCCCTCTCTCCTTCCCCCTCCCTCTCCCCCCCAGTTCTGTACGTGTTGATGCAGACTAGTCGGGACTCGTCTCTTAGGAAGCTGCGACCTTAAACGTTGCTAAGAAGCGGGGGAAGGCTTTCCTCTCCCACGCCCCTTGTAGATCGGAATATTTCCCCCCTCCCCACTTCTGACTTGACAGACAGGGATACAGTTCCTCCTTTCTTTGAGAGTTTAAGCGAAAGGTCGGTCTGATCCTTCGTTCTCTACGGCACCCTCCCCCCCCCTCCGCCCTTCGCTCCCTCCAAGTGTAAAAGCAAACAAAGTTGAGTCTGCAAATTGCTGCTGGCTGCTTCGGGGCGCTAGATCTAACTTCGCCACCGCCGCCACCGCCGCTGACTTTGCTGCTCCCGGCCCTCAACGAGGGGCGGCCTGGGAGAGGAAAGAGCAGCCGCGGGAAACGTGGTTGCGCTGCTCCCGCTGCTGAGGTTCTCATCAGTTCCTCGTCCGTTTCCAGCAGTTGTGCAACAGGCGAACGCATCTCGTTGCTGGGCAGAGGAGGCGAGTTGGAGATGCTGAAAACTTCGTAGAGGGAGGAGCCGGCGGCTGCGGCTGCTGTAGCGGCAGCCTGTTGATGGTGGAGGTGGATTGAACTTTGTCATGTCCGTTGATAAGTTTGTTCTGGCTCCCCCCTTCCTCGCTTCTGCGCTTGCTCTCTTTCCCACCCCCCTCTTACCTCTGCGTTACACTATCTCTCCCTCTCTGGAGTGCTCTGCAATGCATCCTTGATAGGTTATAAAAGGGGAGGGCAGGCATTTCTCCTGGCTCAGCAGATTTTGCTCTCTGTGGCTCCTTGTTGCTCAGTTAGAAGATAGAATTTGAGGCCAGATCCTGATGAGCAGCTCCTATTCTACGCAACTTCACAATACACAGAACCAGTACCAGGGGACACGCTTTTGGAAGGGGGGAGGACATAAGTTAAAAAACCCACTGGCCTGTCCCAAAGTCTTTTTTTTTTTTTTTTTTGCACTAAGTAGGTCTACCGTCTGGCAAATTTGGTTCACATTCTTATTTGTGCTACTCTATCACTGCTTTGCCTTTTAAACCAGCTGAACTGCAGTGAATGTAGTTGTGTTCATTTTTTGGTGAATGTGAATTGCATCAGTGTGAATATGATAAACAGGGCCAGAATTACTTCCTTTTGATCTGAAAACCAGCAGTCTGGAATCCTTGAAGACATTTTTGGTAACTCATTAAAGTCTTCTGATAGCAGTTGCCCCACCAGTTTTAAAGGCTTTGTCAGTGAGGTGGCCATTAGAATTTTTTTTAGTCATTCTAGAGGAGTTTGGGAAAAGTTAACAGTGGTCCCATTTCCCAGAGAACAGATGTATGAAAGAGAAAGAGGGAGGTACCTAGTGACTCATGATCACACAAGCCATATTTGTTTTATTTTCCTGTTTGAAGGCTTAAGGGTATAGTCTTCTCTTGATGTCTGTATATAAAGCCCATTAGCATTAACGGGTGTTATGTACATCCCTCAGAAAAGACTCTTTTGTGTGTTAGAAACTCAGAAACAGCATGGCTCCATCCTCCAATCAATCAAGTTACCACAACATTTCTTTTCATCCTTTGCTTTAAGATGCACCTAATGGTTTTATTTGTTTTAGTGCAATTGGCCCGAAATTGATGGTTTGTGTTTGTGTCTCAGTTCCAATAGTGTACTTAAGCAGTAAAAATATAGTTTTGCATATCATTTTGCTTAGGAAAATAATGCAGGCCATTTCAATTACTTGCAGTTTCTATGAAATTACATTTTAATGTCTATTTCATTGATTACTATTTTAAAGCAACATTTCAGGATAAGAACATTTTTGATTTTGCTCTCTAAAAATTAAGTAGTTTGAAAAAGTTTAATGCTGTTTAATTCTTATCCAATCTTGAGCAGATGCTTTCATCCTTGCACTGTTACATCACTTATTTTGTCTTTTGAGGGCCAAGAATTCTTTGAAGTAAAACTTTTAGATGCAAAAACCAAAAGTCCTCCTTGCATAGCTAGTGGCTTTGATAAACTTGTTTTGGCCTGGGGCAGAAGGTGTGCTTGAAAACTCCACTTTTTTCAGGAGTTTTATGGGTTTTCATCACTTACTTGATAAGCTTACATTCCAGTAATCCCTTTCCATTATTGAAGTAATATATTGTTTGACTACATTGGGTTTTTTTTTCCCCCTTGTAGTGCAAATTGATTTTTATACTGGCCACAGCTAGTGAAAACTAGGTATTGTTGCTAGATCTCTCAGGTTATACTTATTATCCTTTGTGAAAGTAGGTGGTGTGTAGAAGGTCATAGGATAAGTGTTGCTAAGCAGCTAAACAGATGCTAAAATTAACCCAACTGCATCTATCAGGATTTCACTCTCTTGTTTCTTTTTGTCAATGAAATGCGGTTATCTAACCTTTTAATTAATTGAATTGTGCAATGATACATCTACTCGAAGAGCTAACAAAACATCACCCAACATGCAATATTTTATATTAGAGGGTCATTTGGGAATCGGAATAATAACAGAGTTGGAAGGGACCTTGGAGGTCATCTAGTCCAACCCCCTGCTCAGACAGGAATCCCTATAATACCATTTCAGACAAATGGTTGTCCAGTCTCTTCTTGAAAACATCCAGGGTTGGAGGATTGGAAAATCCTAAATTATTGCAAATAAATGTACAAGAGGGTTTCTTATGCGTAGTGATCGATCCATCTTTGGTTCCTGAAGTGAGATGTTTCATTTGGAAAGCAACCTCAAGAGAAAGTACTACACTAAAAAAGAAACAGATGCCGCGACCCCCAACTGGTCGTAAGTCGAGGACTACTCAACTGGTGCAGCACCGTTTGCAGAATGGGACTTTTGGCGGGCTCAGCAGGGCAGAGACAGCCTGGACAATTCCTATTGGCTTTTGAAAGCCAATAGAATTAGACTCTATTCAAGAGAGTCTATTCTACTGGCTTTCAAAAGCCAATAGAATAAAAGGGAGTAGCACAGCTAAGGAAAAGGGGGAAAAATGGCCGACTGCATTGTTTGGCGGACCCCCCCCCCGTGAAATGGTCGTTCGACCCCAAATGGGGTCCCGACCCACAGGTTGAGAACCACTGCTTTAAACAATGCCTTTATAAAAGTAAAATCTTATTAGGTTCATGAAGCCAAGTTTCTATGTTAGAAGACACCGGTTTTTGTAGCAGGCTGTTGCCTCAAAGTGGGGCCAGAATCCTAGGTGGGTGAGGCAAAATACTGTTTCTGTCTTAACCTTTTATTCTCCACCCCACCCCCAGTAGACTGCTGGTACTGGAAAAAAAATTCCACTTGTGATCTTGCAGAAGATTTCTGAAGGGCTCTGTATGGACCTGCTAGGGAAGGTTACCCACTCCAGCCCCAGAAGAAAGTTAGGACAGAAGTCTTTGGTGAAGCTATCTCCCAAGTATGTCCTAGTTACTAATACTTTCAATGCAAACTGCAACTGAGCATACTTCCATTCAAGTACAATTTTGGAAACTGAAAAGTTTAAGTATGTCTTTGAATGGGAACGTGGTGTTTCCCAATTCCTTTTTTAACAGTTAAAATAATAGATCTTAAAAAAAAAAACTTGATTTTTATTGTTCTGTCATCTGTCCTCCTTGACCCATGTGAGTTGAAGCACAGGTGGAATGTAATATTTCACCCTCAATCAGAGCTCTAAAATGGGATGGGGAAAATAAATCAGGGCACTATAGTAGTATCTTGGGTTCTTCCCATTCTTGCATATGATTTAAATTTTTTTATTGCTTGATTTCTAGCATTCAAACTAAGGAAAAATAAGTTGTTTTTCTTAATTTTTCTACTTTTGCCCAATTAGTTAATAGAATTTTTTACATTGCACCTGATTATTGTAACTTGAATTTTTTACAGATATGAAGTGCTTTTCTGAAGAGCAGTTTGAAGTTTAGAAAGGGTAAGAATTGCTTTATGTTTCTATTCATCTTCTCTGAAAGATCTTTCTAAAAATGAGTATATGGTGGAGAAAACATACAAGAGGGATGGCAAAAAAGGACACCCCCCCAAGAATGGCAAAAGTGAAAATTTGTAAGAAAATCTTATAGGGGGCTGGTAATTCTGAATGAATAGATTGATCATGGTATATGACAAAGTCTGTTATGTATTTTTTTAAAAAAATAACCTCGTTCTTATTGATGTTAACATTATATGTATTGATATTTATTAACATTGCAGTTGCTGGCCATTGTGAGAAGAGACTGCTGGACTAGATGGGCCAGGGGTCCGATCCACCAAGGCACTGCTTATATCTTTTAAGTAGAGCGTTATGTGGGTCTTCAATTGCCTATAGAATTTCATGGGAAGTTGTGGGGTTTCTAGCCCTGATGGCAATGATAAAAACAATGAAAACTAGATTTGAAACAGTAGAAGACATAGCAAAGTAATTGATATTTTCATATGATAACTATGAATGAAAATATCATAGAGACTAGGTTTATGCAGTTTAAACTATTTTTTTTTCTTTCAAATATGGCTTAAATTGAATAAAGAATTGGAGAAAAATGTTTTTTTTTTGTTCCTGTGTTGGTAGCATTTATGTACAGTAGGTATAGCTGAGAAATTGCCAGTGTTGCACATGAACCTAACATGCCCCCCCTTTTTAAACTCCTTGCCTACTTTTACTTCCCCACTCTAGCTATCGCCAACAACAATAACAATAATGTATGGAGTATTTGTGAATTTCTTGCAAAATCGTAACCTGTTAAATGTTCTGCTGGATTGGAAAATGTTATTTGGGAGTAGGCATGAGAGGATTGATAAGAGCTATATCATTAATTTTTACTATGTGGGGCTGAGGATATTTGGAATCTGCTCTCTTGCTATTTAATTTGTCCTGGAAATCAGCTTATCTGAACTAAAGATGATGAACACACTTAGAACTGTAGTATTTGGGGCACCTTTGTGAGGCAATCTATGTAGTTGTACAGAGAACATCCAAGTGTGTTAAAGTTTCATTTTTGAATGAAGGTCATTAAAAATCAACAGAATTATTGGAGTAACTGAGCATGGCTACAAACCCACCCTGTTTCACCTCCTTGTTGGTATTAAAAGGACAGCACTTTAAAGGTAGCAATCCATAAGACAGCAACAGCTGTGGTGTAGAAATAGCTAAACAGAAGCATCCTTGACTTTGTTCTTTATGAATCTTATTGAAGCTGTTCTGATCAAAGTTATAGAGTGTCAAGCTCTCCTGAAATATTATTGAGTTTTGTTAGAGATTGAGGTCCAAGATTTATTACTGTGCTGCAGTGTGCATATGTACACACATATGCAAGGTAGGATATTGTGCAGTTTGGATTTAGTGCAGTGGAAAATGACTAAGCGTAAGCTAACTGAGAAAGGTCAGGCTTGCTGGTTGGGTCACACAGATCTGTGTCTCCTGGCGATGATTCTGGAATTATACCCAATCTCTGTAGCTGCAGAACCTGTGGATTTTGTTCCCTCCAGCAGGATGGAAGTCATTCTAGTACATCTGGTTCAAACTAACCACCTCTCCAGTTTTTCATGCTAACCTGCTTTGCAGTCAGTACCTGAATAGGAGCTGTAGACAAAAGAAGTAGGTGATGGGTGGGGATTGTTTATTCAATGTTATTCAAGTAAGTCATGTTAAGGGAATTGGAGGGCCTCTGAGATAGGGTAGCTAAATAGTTTTAAGAAGGATTCACCTCCAGACCTCCAAAGGGGGTAATACCAACAAGACAGAGGATAGTAATTGAAACCCCCCAGACAAGCATTGTTAGGTTAAGGACACCAAAAAGAGGATTATGGGCTGCTTTGAAGCTGTTTTCTTTCCCTTTGCTTTAGGCCAGGGTCTGTATTGGGTCTCCTGATTGTTAGTTGTATTAGGGTCAGATTTGTAGTTTGCTAATGTAAAATACATCACTTTTAATTCAGCATCATATTTTGCTGTGTCTCAGGTATGCATAGGCAAATCTTAGGAAGTCCTTTGAAAGCATGTGCCTTTTTTTTCATGTTCAGTCATTCACAAATTTATACTCTTTGAGCAGCAAGCTACAGTGGTTTTCTCCAAGTAGATCTTATTCTCCCCAGTTAGCCTGACAATCCAATGAAGTTGTAGTCCAGGACATGTGCAGGTATCAGCTGTGGAATGTCACTTGTAACATCCTTAAAGTTTTTTTAAAAATAATTTTATTAATGTTTATAAGTACAAAGGTAAAATAACTAATACAAACTGAAAGAAAATAAGGACAAAGAAGTATAGGAGGTGAAAAAGAAAATAAGAAAAAATATATAAATTTTATAGTAAATGTTAAAAGGATAACAGAGAAGAAATATTGATGATGTAACCTGAGATATGTACTAAAGATTTTGTTATTGCACTATTGATTTACCCAATCACATTGCTTTCTAAATACTCAAATGTAAAACTGGAAAACCAAAAATATATATATTTGACTCCTTCCTCCCTCCAGCCAAGTATAAAATGTTTCAGTGGTTTAATGTCCTCACTAATATTTCAGTTAAAAAAATCTCTTCTTCCAATATCTCGTCCTTTATCAAAGTGTAAAAATTCATCATTCCGTACTAATCGGCAAAAGTCTAAGAGTTACTAGAAATAGTAACGTAACATTCTTAAAGTTATTTTCAAGATTGTAAAACTTTACCTTTTTATTTTAGAAATTTTGTTTCTCCATCAGGTTTTTATATTAACAGCCCCATTCTGCCAAATGGTCCCTTATTGAGGTCAATCTGAATAAATTTCCATATGGGAGATAACCTCATTATTAGTTTTTGCTAAGCTATGGTAGTTGTACAACTATTTAAAAGGCTATTTCATAAGTAAGTCATATGAAACTAATATTCATATGACTACTAATTTCTTCCTTTGTGTATTATTTCAAGAGTAACTTTTATTAGAAGTTCTCCTTTCCTTTGAGAACATCTTTGTACATACACGGAAGTGAATAGCCCTTGTTAGTGTGAAGAGCTTGACTGAATTCCCATATTCACAACCAAGTTGCTTGATTTTGGCTTAGCATGTAGGGGGGAACCTAAGCATTGTGATTTGTAAACCATTGCTTATGGCAACTTTTTTCTTCACAAATCATGGTTAGTAAAATTGTTGTTTGGTGCTGTGCAGAAACTAGGCCATTATATTCCTTAATTATAATTAGTAAATGAATTCTATAAACGGAGTGAGAACAACATAGCTTAAATAATAAGATTAGTTCAAATTTAAGTTTCTGCAGAGATTTGGAACCTCAGTGCCAATTATAAGCATCAGAGGTTTCCACAGGAAGCGGGTCATAAAAGTCAAGATGGTGGGCACGACCAGGTACTTGGAGCCTTGCCTCTTTTTTCTGACTTTTCCATGTGTTGCTTGCATGTGATTTTATACATTTAAAGAAAAGGTGGGGCTTTGATTTCACAACTGCAGCTGCCATCTTGATTTCTGTCAGCCTTCCCCCTGCGGACCTTCCCCCTGGATGTTCCATGAGAAGCATCATCACTGCTTTTCAGAACTGACAACTGTTCAGTTGGTTTGACAGCTGCATTTGCATGCAGTTCTCCTCCCCCCCACCCCCTTCCTCCTAATAACTTACTTACTATGAAGGATTTTTAACTGCAGTTGCCAGGGTTTGAACCTTGGTGCTTCTGCTATCAGAGCAATGATCTTTTCGATGGCTTGGTTCTCTTGCAGGCTCCCTTACCCACTCTGCAGGCTCTGTGATCACTTCCTTTCCTCTTCTTAGATTTGGGCACTGAGGTGAAGAATAATGATAATGTCCTGGGAGAACACAAAGCATAATATATATATATGTATGTATGTATGTATGTGTGTATGTATGTATGTATATCAAAGCATTATATATATATATATATATATATATATATATATATATATGTATGTATGTATGTATGTATGTATGTATGTATGTATGTATATCAAAGCATTATATATATATGTATGTATGTATGTATGTATGTATGTATATCAATGAGCTTAGATACAAGCAAGAACAATAAACCTCCAGTAGTATGGTATTGTACTTACAGGTAGTCCTCAACTTATGGTCTTTTGTTTACTGACCGTTTGAAACTACAACGGCACTCAAAAAAGTGACTAGTGACTGTTTTTCACACTTATGACCATTGCAGCATCCGCATAGCCACATCATCAAAATTTGGATGTTTGGCAACTGATTCATATTTATGATGGTTGCAGTGTCCCGGGGTCATGTGATCACCTTTTGCGACCTTCTGACAAGCAAAGTCAATGGGGCAGCCAGATTCACTTAACAACTGTGTTCCTAATTGTCAAAAGGATGATTGAGCAGTGTTACTACTGTATTACCTCAGACAGCCTCAGAAGCTTGTCTGTTATATGGGAAAAATTTTGTCTTTCTTTTGCAAACATCTTACAATAATTAATGAGAAATGGAATGGATGATGCCAAGGCCTATACTAATCAGTCTCTGTTTCTGAATTTTGTGTTTTTTATATTTAACCCAATGTATTGGTAAGGTCATACTTTGATGTGCTCCTCTCCCAGATTCCCCCCCCCCCCGCTTTCATAAATGCTTTTCTTCAGCTTTGTTGCTGAAGCTAGAAAAAGCTGGTATGGTATCTTAAGAATGGATTGGCTCCTATACTTGGAAGTATTAGGAGATGAACAAATTTAACTAGCAGCCATTTCAGGAGTCCTTTACTATTATTTTTAATGCACTTAAGTTCAAGGCTGCAAAGAAGAGCTGAACTGCTTGATGAAAAAAGTAAAACAAAAACTTTTTTAAGCTGTAGTATGTAGTTTTCTGGGAATTAATAGGTAAATTGGTTAACAGAGATGTATTTGTCACTCCACAAAGATAATTTGCAAGTTAATGATGCTGAGTTCCCTGTTACAGTACATAGGAAACAGTTTAGAGAATTTGAAGT